AGACCAATTGAACCTACGTACATGTGGATTAACTGCATGGCATAAGCACAGCAGCTCCAGAGTAGCCAAGCTATTATCAGACATGCAAGAATATGCCCAACATTTTATAGCTGTAGTAGCTATGAACTGACTAGTTTCTGTGCCCACTTTGACTCCTCAATTTGTGTGGTGCAATTTTGGCAGGAGGGCTGGAACCAGATGGTCTTTAAGATCCCTTCAAACCCAAGTCGCTTGACTTGGTTTCGTGCAAGCCATTCACACCCCTCCTTTTCTTTTTTTTTTTTCCCTAAACCTTTTTAAAACTGTCTCATTTCTGCTGCTACCCCATATCATCAGACTTCATCATTAAAAAATTGCAGGGCCTAGGCCTTTGGACAGGTTTTTATAGTCTTCTGTTAATGAATGCTATGTGCTTCTGGGCTGCACCACTCATAAATCAAGCAATGGCAGGCACTGCCAGCCCTGCTGGATGAAGAAATGAAAGAAAGAATTCAGCAGAACTAAGACTTGGGAATTGTGAGGAAAGAATTATTGTGCTATCTTGGAGAATGAGCCTGGGAGCTAGCGGGCAGCCACAGGGCAGTATGGATGTACTGACTCAGTGCTAGGACAAGACAGAAAGAAACCCCCTTTCACAAGGTGAAGAATTTGGATCATCATAAGTTTTTCTGGGTCAGTGCAAACTGACCCTGGATTGCCACTGTCTTAAGATGAATGAAATACAAAACAAAGTAGATTTCCTATTGTACCAAATAGCTGTACCAAATTCCATGTTTATTGCACTTTAATTCTGTGTGCTGAGGAATGATGCATCCATAAAGCTATGCTATATAGAGCTTTCAGTAATATCATGGGCCATAAATCTCGTGCTAGGTATTACTATTTTTTATTCAGCCTTTACAGTTATTCCACTTTTCTGTTCTTTCTCTTTTTTCTGCTTAGACTGCAAGTTACTTGAGTGAGTGGTATATTTTGGTGGCGACTATGTATTCTTTATGCTTGTCTCTGTTAGGGGTGGGTATTTCCAGAATACTGCTGTAACTTATTGGTTAAAAAGTCAGATTTATACAAATGAACACAAGGAGAGAAACAACACCTGTTCTGATCATGCACACTCAACACATGGATTAAACCTTTTTCTGACAGCCTTCACTTCTCCTGTGTAGGTTAGCTTCTGTGCTGAACGTTGCTGGGATTTAATACACCTGAAAAATGGATGAATCCAGAAGATGTGCAAAGTAAAAAAAACCTGTGGCTTTTACTCTTCCCATTTGATCTCTGAATGGAGAGAACATGCTGTAATCTTTTGCACCGTAACAGAAAAAAAATCTGTTAGTAGTTGTTGCTGAATCTTGATTCTCAGGGAATTGTTTTAAAGGTTTTTTTTTCCCCCATTTAATGACCACAGTAGTAGCTTCTGATCTTTGTTTTTTATTTATCAAAACAGGCCTTTGACTATGGCAATCTTGAAGATACGTATTCTACTTTTAAACTTGCTCTTGTGGAAGATTTTGTTTCATGTGAGTGTATAGGTTTCTTCTCAGTTCAAGAGATGTATTGATTAATCATGTTTTAAAGGAGTGGATTTGTTATTCTGCAGTGCTATTAAATTAATTGCATACAGTATCCTTGGCTAAACTTTTGTATTCACTTCCACAATTAAGAAATGTTATCAAAAAAGTAAATGCAGTGAAAGGTACTGAGACTTATCAGTAATGAGTATCATGATCATAGTTCATATCTTTTGGGAATACCAAGTGATAGTTGCATTTTTCCTGTGCTTTGTGAGGCAATACATCATGCAACTTTACCTAGTGGTGTGTCTCATCAGGTCTGCATTTTGATCAAGAAAAGTTATTTTCATAGAATAACAAAACTGTGGGAGTTGGAAGGAACCTTTGGAGATCATCTAGTCCAACATGTCCTGATATCCAAACTAAAGCTCTCCTTGCACAACTTGATACCATTTCCCCTCGTCCTGTCACCTGTCACCAGTCACCTCATAAGGAAGATGCTTCAAGTATCCTTACAGCCCTATCTAGAAGTTCCCTATTTTGAACTGTGGAGCCCAGAACTGGACTCAGTACTCCAGACGTGGCCTCATCAGGTCAGAGGAGAGGTGGAGGATCCCTTGACCTACTGACCACACTTCTTGATGCACACCAGGCTACCACTGCCCTTCTTGGCCACAAGGGCACACTGGTGGCTCATGGCCAACCTGTTACAGCCACTAATGCTGCCACTGTGCGTCCCTCCCCAGGACTCTCACAGAATCACAGGATCATAGGGGTTGGAAGGGACCTCCAGAGATCACAAGTCCAACCCCCCTGCCAAAGCGGGTTCCCTACACCAGGTCGCACAAGACCTGGTGGGTATTGTCCACCAGAGCACCCAGATTCTTCTCTGCAGAATTCCCTTCTAGCAGGTCATCCCCTAACCTGTACTGATGCATGTGGTTATTCCTCCCCTGGTATAGGACTTCGCACTTGTCCTTGTTGAACGTCATCAGGTTCCCTCTGCCCAACTATCCAACCTATCCAAGTCCCACTAAATAGAAACACAGATTTCTGGTGTGTTAACTACTCCTCCCAGCTTGGTATCAGGTCATTGAAGAAGATGTCAAGCATGACCAGCCCCAGTACCAACCCTTGAGGGAATCACCAGTGATAAAGCGATCCCTTCTATCAAGTTCAGCACTGGCCTCAAATTTTATTTGCACCAGCATGGCCATACTAACCCTTTCAGTAGTAGTGTTCAGTTTCAACTGAGTCATTTGATAGTGAGTGGCTACAACTCTGCACAACACTTCCCTTATACATCTAACTGTTGTGTTAGACCCTGATTAACACAAGCTCTCCATTAAAGACTTTTAATGTAGATAATTACCATTTTCATTGTAGAAGCCATTTAAAAAAATGATGTCTTCCTTAGGAGTTTGGTCCATGTCTTTTTCTCAAACATGTACCCAAGCAAAACGCAAAGTTGAGGATAAATTGCATCAAAGAAATTGAGCTAAACATCACAATCATCTCATTACTGTAAGGAATCACAGAGTTATGATCTGTGCCCTGCTAAGCGAAAATTTTGTAGCACAATCACCTCTTGCGTGAGCACGACATTGTTTCTGCACACAGGAAAGGCCAACACGAGGGATGTACCTGTACTGCAGTGCAATCTGATGTGACCAGAATCTTTCCCACAAGTGACAGGACCCACCCTGTGAAAAGACCTTTTCTTACTGCACTGTCAATTGCACTCAAGACTAGTATAAAGGTTTTGCAGAACATGGTCTCTGTGTTGCTTTATTCAGCTCCTTCCCAATGCAGGAGAGCATCTCTTCTGTGCACAGACAGGTGAGGAGGCAGTGGGAGACACATAGGGGGCCTGACCTAAATGCAGTGAGAATAGCAAGGTTGGGCAAGTGGCAGCACTCCCCCTACAGCCTCCCCACTTTGTAATGGTGCTGGAGAATGCTATGTGTAGACAAGGCTAGATGTAGGGGAAACTTGAGAGATGTTGTAAGAGGAACTGTCCCTGCAATGCCAGTAAGCCCTGAGAGGTTTGATGTGAAACTCAGGACACACACGTTTGAGTTCCCAAGTTCTTACCTTTCCAATACATGTGTTTGCCTCTTTCTCAGGGAAGCTTGTAGTCCCCAGTCTGAACTTGCAGATGGATCCCTGTGACGTGAGAGGCCCTCCTCTGCAGTGATGCTTTCACTAGAGAGGGGACAAAATGGCTCTTCCAGAAGTCATGCTGAGGTACATGAGTTCTAATTACTTCAGTATTTCCAGAAAACATTTTTTTTCCCATCTACATTTAGTTAGAAGGAAATTGTTTTCTTTCCATTTGCAAATGCAGTCAGCAATCCATGTGTTTCTTTAAATTGTGCTCCCTGTGAGCCTTGGGATGAGTCCAAAAGGAGACCAGCATGAAACGTGTTGGCACTGTTCTTCAGTGGGTTTTAAAGCCAGGTTTGGCCTCCTGTGACTTTTAATGAATAGTTTCAAATGTTATATGCTGTAATGTTTCAGGCCACTTTGCTGGGCATTCACGCTTCATGCTGCAGCGCGGTGGCCAAAGCTGGTGAAGGCCTCTGAGGGGAGTGGCCAGAAGGAAGTAGTGGCTGAGCCATTTTGTTTGGGAGGAGCTGCTGGGGCCTGCTCCATCTCATCCCTGGCTGGCACTGAGCTAGGAATGAAATGTAACATTCTTCTTGGCATAAAACAGTGGTGTCTTTCTGATACAGCTGAAAGTTGCGCTGTGCTTGTGCTGGACTGGGTACCTTCCACACCTGTCCTGTTGAGACCTGTCCTACTCTTTGTAGGGCATCTTCCACGGACAAGCATGCAGTGGCAATTCTGCCATTCTCACCCAAGCTGGTTCTTCGTAACATAATTCCCCTTGAGAGAGGAGGGAGGCTTATTTGTTTAAAAGAGAGAATAGCTTTGCTGATCCCGTACAGATCAGTGACGAGCAGCCTTACTGCTCATGAAAGCAACCTGCCGTGCACGGTGTATAGAAGGCACAAGATATGCAGCAGCGCAGTTTTGCCCTACGTTCCCCGGCGCTGGAGGAGGCCGGCAGAACGCTGCCAGTCTTCCCGTCGATTCAAGGCGAAGCTTCAGACTCCTGGAAACCCTTCACCTGCCAATTCGGGATGAGCTTACGCAAACTTAACCAGGCTCAGCGCATCGCTTCGTGCCGCCGCCGGTTCTGGTGACCGGTTCTGGTGTCTGGGCGAGGCCAGCCCCGGCTGCAGGCTGCCGGCCGCGCCCCCGGGCGATGCGCCCTTCCCCTCCCGGGCCGGGGACTCCCCGCGCCGCTCCGCCGGGGCGTGCGGCGGGGGAGGCGGCGGGGAGGGGACAGCGGGGGGCTGCGCGGGGGGGGGGCCCGTCGGCGCGTCCTGCCTCCGCCCGCCCCCCGCCTCCGCCCGTCCCCACGCCGCCGCCGTGGGTGCCCGGGCGGGCGGCAGTGCCGCTGGCCCCGGGCGCGGGAGGATGGTCCGGTGGCGGGGCCGGGCGCGGGGCGTCGCGGTAGCGGTGGCACACGGGCTGTGCTCGGGCTCGCTGAACATCCTGCTCAAGTTCTTGCTAGCTCGCTACCACTTCGCCTTCTTGACGCTACTGCAGTGCCTCAGCAGCGCGGCGGCGGCGCTGGGGCTGGAGGCGCTGCGGCGGCGGGGGCTGGCGGCGCTGCCCCCCTTCGGGCTCCGCCTGGCTCGCCCTTTCGCCGCCGTGGCCGCTCTGGCCACACTGCAGTCCACCCTCACGCTCTGGTCGCTGCGCGGCCTCAGCCTCCCTATGTATGTCGTCTTCAAGCGCTGCCTGCCCCTCGTCACCCTCGTCACCGGCGTCCTGGTGCTGCGCGACGGCATGCCTTCGCCCGGCGTCGTGGTGGCCGTCCTCATCACCACATGCGGCGCCGCGCTGGCCGGTGAGTGCCCGCCCCGCCGGGACGGGACGGGACGGGACGGGGGGGAGCGGAGCGGGACAGGGATGCCGAGCGACGAGCGGGCAGCCGCGCCGCGGGGCGCCCCGACGGCAGCGCCTCCTCCGCTCTCGGAGACTCTTCGCCCTGGCACGGCAGAATGGGGCAACGGGGCGAGCGTGAGTGCTGCTCTGAATGCAGCTCTGTGGAGGGTGGTGCGACCGTAGAGGGGTGCGTGCAGCCTTACGGCGGGAGATTTAATACCCTGGGGGCAATTGCGATCCCGTGGTGCCAGCTGCAGCCCAGGAGGAGTAAGCGCAGTCTTACAGGGGTAGGTGCAATTTTAGGAATCGGCTGGAACCCGACAGGGGCCCTGTGGTCGTGATTGGTGTCACTGGGTTTGGGGCAGGCAGCTTCATCTGCGGAGCAGCCCGAACAGGGCGCTGTGGCTGTGGGACCCCCGCGGGCTCGCCAGGGTGGCAGGATGGTGGAAAGAAGATTCACGGTTGGAAGCCAGGCAGACCGAGCTCCCCAGCACCTATGCTGGCAGAGAGTACCCAGAGCCACTGTGTCTGAGCTGTTTCAGCTGCAAATCTCACAGTGTTCTTGCCAGAGGGAGAAGGTGAGTGAGTTTATTCGGACCGGGGGGTGTACAGGGAAGCGAAAACATTCAGTAATTTGGCAGAAAAGTCTATCAGGAGGTAAGGACATCAAGCTTTGTGACAAGCATGACAAACCTGAGGAGCTATGCACTGACATATCTTTTCTAAATATCCTCCTCCTCCAAAATGATGCTCTTTCCATCTCATCTGCAAAATCCACCCAACAGGTGCTGGTGACCTGACCGGAGATGCCATGGGCTATGTGACCGGCGTGCTGGCTGTGCTGATCCATGCCGCATACCTGGTGCTCATTCAGAAGACCAGCGTTGACAGTGAATACGGACCCCTGACAGCTCAGTATGCCATTGCTGTTTCAGCCACCCCTTTTCTCATCATCTGCTCCTTTGCCAGCATGGACTCCATCAATGTCTGGTCGTTCCCAGGCTGGAAGGACCCTGCTATGGTATGCATCTTCATCGCCTGTGTCCTGATCAGCTGCGCCATGAACTTTACCACCCTTCACTGCACCTATATTAACTCAGCTGTGACCACCAGCTTTGTAGGGGTGGTGAAAAGCATAGCAACCATCACGGTGGGCATGGTGGCATTCAATGATGTGGAGCCCACCAAGTTGTTCATAGCTGGTGTGGTGGTCAACACCTTGGGGTCGGTCATTTACTGCGTGGCCAAGTACATCGAGACCAGGCAACAGAGCACGTACGAAGACCTGGAGAAAGAAGGTAGAGAAGAGGAGGGGAAAAGGCAGGCTGGGGACCGAGCGCTGTTTGCAATGGAGGCGATTTCCCCAGAGAAGGGGGCTAGGGAAGCAGCAGTGGAAGGATCAGCTGAAGGGGACAGCCAGGGTGGAGAGGACGAGAAGGACAGCACCAAGAAATCTGCTGGGGAGCTATCGGCTCAGGGAAAAGCCACCAGCACACAAGATGGGAGCAGGAGCTCGCTGAAGGATGCCTATCTCGGAGTATGGAGGTTGGTGAGGGGTGCTAAATATATAAAAAAGGATTATTTGATAGAAAATGAAGAGCTACCGAGCCCTTGAAAAGCAGGTGTGAAAACTCCACAGAACATGTTGCTTGAAGACAGACAGCTGAGTTCTATGTACAGAGGGAGAGGCAGAGCATACATTTCCACATCGATGCTGACAAATCCAAGTCATTTAGGATAAATTTACCTCATTGTCAAAAAGCAAAAGGTCAGGGTTTGCTCATGCTTTCTGCTTGCATTTAACTGCTTTCAGTACATCCATTTAGACCTGCCACAGCTAAGGTACCAAGTCCTTTGCTGTGGATACAGACAGAGTTGGGTAACAGCAAGCCGTGGGGATGACTGTGAGGGGTATCAGTGCCTCTAGGTTGAAAGCAGTGCCGGCAGTAGCCTGTAGCTTCAGGCTCTGTTGATGTAATTCTTTATCCATCCAATTCTATGTACTCTGTACAAGTGTATTTCTGCAATTTGTCAATTCCTATTAACTGTACTTGTATGTGCTCTTCTGTGTCACTATGATTGCAACAGAGCTAGAGGCTGTGCCAGTTGAATTGTATCGGTGTATGATCACCCACCTAGCTGAAGAATTGAAATTCTCCCTGATTCTGCAGCCAGGCTGGGCCATGATCCAGCTTCATGTTATGTGGTCTGTGTTTTCAGTGGAAATGCTTCAATCTTGCACGTGCAGGAGAGCAGAACCGGATCTGAACTTTTGAGGAGCTTTAGTCAGCAGAAGAAGGATGTTTGCCTGTGAGCTTCGACTACGTAAAGCATTGGGAAGATTAGCTTGACCGAAATACAAGTTTGGAATTATTGGATTGTATTGATTTGACTTGGGAGGGCTATTAAAAAAAAATACAGGGAGAAAGTGTGCCTTGGGCTCTCTCATCTCAGCCTGTGTCTGAACCTGGGTGCAGGCTACAGCAGAGATGTGGGGATCATCTCTGCCCATGCCCACACTAGGGCTCCCAGAGCTTCTTTGGCAGGGCAGTGCTGTCATGACCTGACTGCTGGGCTATGGCATGGTGTGGCTGCAGTGCCTTGTGGATGCAGGCAGGGAGCTCTGGCAGATCACACTCAGGGGCCAGGTCTGCACAGCACGCTTGGCACTGGAACACCTGGGTCTTTGGGGAAGCTGTGCCCCTTTGTTCTCAGTGCTTCCTTGTGCTGTGAGGGGTAAAGCTGGCGCTCAGCCTCGGTTGCTCAAGGGCTCATGTGGGAAGCAGGAAGCATGATCTCCAGTGTGTCTTCTAAGCAATATGCTCATAATTTGTACCAAATACCTGTAGCAGGTAAGACAGAGGAAACAAGTGTCTGAGTATTTCTTAGCCTGGGGAAGCCTTTTGGGAAGCAACAGTCTTTGGGTCATGCCTATGCTCAGGGCCATACAGAGAAGAGGTCTGACCCCAAGTCTTCATCATCCCAAGAGGGCCCCAGCTGTCTGGACCACAGTGGACAGAAACAAGTGGCTATCATTTCCTGGAAAAAAAGAATGAATCAAGCTTTTGTCATTGTTTTGGTGGTGGTGGTTGTTGTTTTTTTATTTATTATTATTTATTAAGCCACTGAGCCAGCTATACCCACATCTCCAGTTAAACAGTGCCTACCCTAATGCCTTCTTCAGTCAAACAGACAGCTTTCACCTAATGGTGAATTCAGCACTGAAATCAGCAGTGAGCAATTTCCCCAGCAGAGCATACGTACAAAATTAGTCTCTAGGGAAAAAGTAGATTCTTGTCAATTCAAATACAGATAGAAATTGTTGGGCACAGTAGTATTTTTTCAAAACGAGTGCAGAAGTTGGATGACCTGGTATCACCCATGGATTTGGAAAGGCACTGTTAACGAAGGCAGTCAGCCTGTAGCTGCTGCACTGTGGGGATGGGGCACGGAGATGTGTACATCACAGTTGCGTATAGCTGCTGCTTCAGAGTGGAGAAATACCACCTGTGCTGAAATATGTTTACTTTCTGCTCAAGCTCCATTAGGCATCTTTCTATAAAAGCACTACTTGTTGTTTATGAGCCAATGTTTTTTTTGTTATTTTTCAAATATATCTTATATAAGGCTGTGCCTGCAATGTAGAGTTGCGGTGTTACTGAACTCTTTACAGTACCGTCTACGTAGCAATCCGTACAGATGGCTGAAGAGAAACCTGCATTTCTGACCTGCTCTTACTGCTCAGTGCAGTTTAACCACAGAAATGAGGATCTTTTTGCCACCTGACTGCCAGTCCCACTGAAGCACACTGTGCTTCCTTGGCACATGCTATAGAAAGCTCTCCGCCGGGATTTGTACCGCAAGACTTTTTCCTGGAGGAGTTCAGTGTTTTGCCTTTTACTGTTGTGGAAGTATCGTTAGAAACTTGTGGAAATTTGAACAGTTTCAACTGTTAAAAAAGCTGCTGTTACCATGTTGTATGTTTGCATGTATAGGAAAAGTGTGATAATGTTGTATGCTATTTATACATCTAAATTCCCTAAATTAAAATGGGAATTTGGCAAATGCAGTTTTTTTTTTTTTTCTCAATAAAGAGATTGTTGCACAAAAATAAAAATACTGCCTCATGCAGAGGCATTTTTATAGCATCAGTGGAAGACTACAGAATGAGATGTGGGAATAAAATGCACTGCTTTCCAAAAGTTCTGGTTTTCTTATTGTTGCTACTCTGGGGTCCTCATTTTTACTTCATTTATAATTATTCTTTTGCCTTTATACGATCCAAGCTTCCTCAGCACGTGACAGTACACTATTAATGCTGTCATTGACAAAGGGACCAAGGACAGACAAAGGAGCACAAGAACTCTTAAGTGTCTGAGCTGTCTCTGTAGTTTTACGTATCTTGTCCTCAGCAGTGGTTTCTTTGACCACATATTTAAAATGGCTTAGTGTCAGTAGTGCAACTGCTCTGACTTTAGAAGGAAAACAATTAAACAAGATGATGCTCATTATTAATAGTATTTGTTTTACTAGTTATGTCACCTGCCAGCCTACGGGCTGACTGAACAATTACTTTTTATGTAAATGCAAATTTATCCTTGTCCCCTCTGCGTCTTGAATTGTGCCCCATGATGTGGCTGGTGACCGTTACAGGATTCGCCTGAGAGATCCACATAGAAGTGTCTTCATGACAGGTTGGAGAAAGGAGCTGTCCTGGGTTCAGGACAATGAAGTCAAGCTGATGCACAATAACTGCTTTGAGAATAAACATTAATTTCAGTGTGGATACATCCCCGAGTAACACCTGCTCTGGCACTGCTATTGCTGCACGTATGCACACATGACAAACAGACATGCAACAGGAGAAGGAAAGCCAGACAGCTATCTTATCTAAAACACTTAAAAAAAAAAAAAAAAAAAAAAAAAGGCCAGGGTATTTGAAGGCAGTGACAGTTGAAATTTATATTAATAATTTAAACATCTGCATTACTGACAAACTGATCCTGAGTTTACCATCACTGCTAGAAGGAAAATGATCAGCAACCAGCCACTATTGAAAAAATATGCTTCAGTTTGTTAAATAACACTCATGCTCCTGTGTGTGTCCAGCACTTGCTTATTGCTAGTGCCTGCCCTGATTTCATTACGTTTGTTTGCTGCAGGCAAAGCGTTTTGTGCACGGAAAGGTGTAAGCCTTCTGCTCTGGCCTCTGAATTAAGATTTGCAACAGAGGCTTCTGCCGTATTATTCCTTCTTTCCCCCCCGCCCCCTTTTTTTTTTTTCTAGAAAGGCATAGAGGCAGATGGACCAGCAGGTTCTTGTAAGCCCAGCTTGCTTCTTGCAGGCTTTGTGCACAGCTCCAAGGCTGAGCAGGGGTGCCACAAGCTCCAGGCATAGCTCAGTCGTGGCTGCCAACCAACTTCCTGCAGAACTGGGCAATGGGTAGAATACATGCAGGTGGGAGGGCCCTCACTGCCAGCATGGCAGTACCTGATCTTCCTGAGTGGAAGCTGGTGCAGGTACTTATTCTGCGTGTAAAACCAGCAGGAGATCATTTCCCAGTAAGAGCATTCTGAGTAATAAAGCTATAAACCTGCAAAGGGGTTGCCATCATTATTGCTGATTTGCTGTTGTTGCTATATGTTTGTTGCTTGGGTTTATTGCAGGGAGAGATGAGGAATGAATTCATGCCAAACGCATTAATGCTAGATGTTGCGTTTGAATAGCAGCATGGAAACACTGCCAGGGGAGGTAGGAGGGACTGTGGCAGATAGGAAAAATGTTACAAAGCCACAGCTACTTATGTAGAAAAGCAGAATGTTTCTGTTTGCACCTGTCTCCAACACACACATCCATAGGGAGCTGGAAGCCAGCCCTTCCAGCAAATTTCAGTTTGGCACTTTCTACAAGGAAAGAAATAGTGACAGCATCAGAAATCCAGGGCCAAATATTGTCACGAATTTGCAGTGAGTGCTCTTGAATTTGGGGCTCTGGAAGAGTGATGCAAGAAAAAGAGAGGAAGCCTGAATGATCTGGAGGCGATTGGAGGCAAGAGGAGCTACTTGAGATCTTGTGATTTTCTCTGACTAGACAGATATAAGAAATCTTGCACTAGACGTGTTAATTTTGTTGATAAATTTGTCTTTTTTTGAATTAAAGCAGTTCCATTCTGCTCTCAAAATTACACCGCTGTTTGATTAGATGCTATTGATTTTGTTCCTGACAAACCAAGACAAATGTCAACAATTCTTTAACTGAAGTCAGGATTTCTCTGAAAAAGAGCTATAGCTGCCACGATCACAGATTGCTTTTACTTGACATGGTGCATCAAGAACGAAAGATGAGCTGTAACTGGCCATGAAGCTTTGTAGGCTGCTGGAAATACTGAATATCATCAATAAATAAAAACACTTGGAGGCTGCTGTGCATATTATCAATAACTCCTCGTATTTTGAATTGCCTTAATTCTCTTATATGGATTTCCAGCCCTCAAAGTGTCTCTTCAAGCCTGAAGATGAAGCATTATGGTTCATCCAATTCCAAACAGTATATGCTTGCTTAAAAGGTAGAACATGGATTTTCCCTTCTGATGGCCACATCACAAGCCCACCTAGG